GGGCGGCCAGAGGCCGCCCGGGGCGGGCCGGGACCGTGGCCGGGCCCCCGGTGCCTCCCCCCCATCCCATATCACCTCCCTTTTTTAAAAAAACGAGGGGTGGATTTTGGCCCCGCACTTAGGGAAATGGAGGAGCCGCCTCCTCGCAAGCATCGGTAGATGGCAGGAGATACCGCGGAATGCGGCTGGGGATGGGAGGAAGAAGAGCTGCTGCTGGAGAAAAAGGGGTTGGGAAATGGGAAGAGGGTGGTGATGGTGGTGGTGATGGTCCGGGAGAGTTTGTGGGTGTAGTTTGGAGTTAAAGCTTGCCGTTGTATCGGAAGGAATAAATAATAATAATAGATAATAATAAATAATAATAATAACAACAACAAAACAACATCAATAATAACAATAATAACCACAATAATATAAAAATCAGTATTATAATAAACATGGCAATTATATTAATCTATTAATATTATCTATGCTATAGCAGTATAGGATAATTATGTATAACAATATCATATTAGTTGGTATAGTTATTCTTCTATAGTATTAGCATCTTGACAACTATGTATAATAATTGTCATAATAATTTACATACTTAAAATATACTCACACGTGGTGAATCAAATCTCCCGGCACTCCTTCCACTGTGCAAGCACCCCATGCAACACCAGACTGGGTTTTTTTTAATAATAATTTAAAGCCTCCTTCTCCTTAAAAGACGGGTAGACGTGGTGCTTGGGACGTGGTTTAGGGGTGGTTTTGGCAGTGTTAGGTTGATGGTTGGACTTGACGATCTTAAGGGTCCCTTCCAACATAGGCAATTCTATGATTCTATGCTGATTATTATTATTATGGTTTTTAATAATAATATAGATCATGATTATTCCATTGTGTTCCATTCCATTCTATTCTATTCCATTATTGTTATTATTGTTATTATTTAAAGCACTCCCCTCCACCTCCCCAAGTCTGGTGTTGTATGGGGTGCTTGCACACTAGAAGGAGTGTTGGGAGATTTGATTCATCGCCTGTGATATGAGATTAACTGGGCACTCTGGTTGTCCTGACTGGATTCTCCAGTGTTTCTTCAGTAAAAAATTGTAGGGTTAGAATGGCTGTTTTGGGGGAGTAGCGATAAACTGGGTGCGGTGGCAGAGGGTCAGTGTTCTCAGGCTTTTGCAAAGCACCAAAAGGAGCTACTTGGCATGAAGAAATACCAAGCTGTTTCTTTAGAATGACACATAACGGTTCCCAGGTCTGATCCAAAGCTGTTATCGTCAGGGAAAATATTGCAAAGTTGCACGGACTTGGGTTGCTCATCCGTACGCTGACGTTCTCAAGCACAGTCAATTTCTTTTTATCTTCTGTTTTTGACATTTGCCTGGTAACGGGACTTCTTGCTGCAACGCAGATGTTTCTAATACTTGGGTATATAGAATTCTAATACTTGGGTAGCTGAAATATAATATTTTCTAAGACTTCAGTATATATAATTCCTCTGTGATTTTCCTGCATCCTGTAGATTAAAAACATCTATTTGGAGTCCAAATGACTGTGATCCTCACCGTTTTTTTTTTTCTCTACACAGAAAACAAAATATTTTAATCATTTCGCCATGAAAAGGAATAAAAATTAATGATTTAAGAGTAATGCAAATGAGTTAGCCATTTCAATCACCACATGTTCGAGCCCCTGAATGTTCTGCAATGTTACCGTTAGTGTCTGATTTTTTTGGTCCTTGCTTTTTTTCAGGCTACAACTTCTATTCCTCAAGTTGTGGGAGCTTGAAAAATGCATTTGGTGAGTGAGTTCACTTAGGAAAAAAAATCGCCGGGTCTGTCAGAGTTGTCAACAAGGAAAGTATGCCAAGACTGTAAAATATGCAGGCTCAGAAGGGAGTGGATGTATTTTAAAGGCAGCAACCTAAACAAACCCCTTCTGTTTCTGCTGGCTCTCCCTGGCAGCAGTACCTGATACGCCCTTCCTTAGACATTTGTGTTTCCAAAGGGCTGCCGGTGTCTCTCCCTCTTGGTGCAGAATCCTGCCCAGCTTGTTTCCATACACCCTCCCTTTTTTTTTGGCTGGGACCTCGGAGCCTGGGCGGGGAGGAAGAATTTTTGCAGAGAGCAGCGGCTCCCATTGCTCTGGTGGGGTCTAACGCGCTGTCGGTGGGTGGGAGAAGGACAGGAGTTCAAACCGGTCACAGTTTATAGCAGAGACAGTGTGTGCTGCTGCCGTCCCTGCCTGCATGAGCAGCCGGACCTCGGCCGGGTGGCGGAAGGGAAGGATGGAGAAAGGCCACTGCCTCCAGCAGTACCATTCGTGGCTTTTGCTCTCCCGACAGCCTTCCCCCTGGCTGTGGTCCTGGCTGCTGGACACACTGGCTTTCCAGCCTGTCTCTGGTTTGCGCTTTGGAGCCTGTCTCCCTGAGCCTTTCTGCATCAACCTTCTACTGTACATAGCACATTTGCGTGCTGGAGAAGGTAGGCACGCTCTCTTTGCAATCTAAATAAACACTCTGCTCACTCTTGTTATGAGTCTCCTGCAAAGGGTCTGCAAATTTTTGCGTGTTTAAAGCTCCCGGCCCCGTTTGCATCCTAGGGAAAAGCTGCAATGCCCTGTGGTAGCCGACGCAAAATCCGAAGTATGGTTTCCCGGTTAGTCCTCTGCCCCAGTAAAGCAAAGCCAGGGACAGCAGCGTTGATGTAGCTACAAGGCCCCTCAGCACCCACCGCTGGAGATTCCTCAGGGTCCCCGTGGCTCAGAAGGTGCCGTGGTGCCCCTGTGCTCCCTGCCCAGCCTTGCCACTCGGGTCACCAGCCCTGAGGCAATGCTGTGGGGAAAGGAGGGATGATGAGACCAGGAATAAGATGGTCCCAAAATGGTACCTCTTCCAGCCAGGTGCTAAATTCCAGCTGTGGGTTTTGACACCGTCTGTCAGCTCTGATTACCTGTCGCGTTTGTAACAAGGCTGGCAGGCTGGCTGAGCTGCCAGCGCTTGGGGGAATCAGAGACTTTTTATGCTGGTTTGGGGGGTTTTTTTAGTTTTATTGATTGATTCGGCAGGATAGTGGAGGAGGATTTTGCCAAGTTGCAATGCAGGTTTTACCACTGAGAAACTGTATAGAGGAAAACATTTTATGTTTATTTAGAAAGAAGAAGCATTAAAGAGATTAAATTTATCAGGGTCATCCAATGTAAGTCAAGAGTTCTTTTCATGTAAAATCAATGTGCGTGAATTATACGGTCAGAAATTGGAGGCTAACTCACTCATTAGTCACATGATGTTTGATGCTGGACCATTACTGATAATTTATTAGGCGTGGAGTATTACTTCAAGCCAATATGACAGGAAAGGGTGGAGAGAGGAATTAATAGGGGAAGGAAGAATGGCAGGGACCGTACAGGTCATCCTCAGCTTATTGAATTTCATGTCCGAGCTCTCCCTGACTTTAAAGGTATGGCATGAGGCCGTCTAACCGTGCGAACACAGGTGGGTGAAGAGCTGATTGTTGAGAGGAGCTGTGGGGAGCATGGGAAGAGAGCTCAGCAAAGGAGGGTGGGTGCCCCGAGGGGGCTGATATCTTCTCCCACGGGTCCAGGGGAGAAAAGAGTATAGAAACAGGACAGGGAGAAGTGATGTTCCATCTGCAGCCAGTGAGCAGTTCAAGACATGAAACTTGGTTGCCTCTTGCTGGAGGATTTCTCTGAGGGCTGGTCCCGGGTCACAGTAACATTTCCCTCCCGTGGGTCTGCTCCTTCTGTTGCACTGGCATTTGTCATACCCTTGGAGCCTCTGCCTTTCCGCCAGGGTTGATTGAAACTGGCCAAAAGCTTCTGGGAAAATGGAGGCCAGACCAGCCGATTCATGAAACACGCATGGTGATGGAGGGAACCTTGTGTTATTAGGCAGTGAGGCTAAAAATGCTGATGGGATTTGTCCCAGCAGCAGAAGGCATTTCTTGCCCTTGGCCACAGGCTGCTTCTTCCCATGGCACAGAGCAGAGAAATTAGTCCATCAATCCTTAACGTTGCCTTTTGATGTTTTTTTAAAATAAAACTGTATGTCTGTTATGAGCCAGTTTTACCGGCAGCACCCAGTTTGTGTTGTGCTCTAAAAGCATTAGAGAAGAACCATAATGGGTTTGAGAAATGGCGTCTGCTTCACTGCATTGCCCTTGGCACTGAGCAACCAGTTTGGACCAGTACAACTAACCCAACCCTGCTGATAGATGCCAGTATGTGCAGTGGATTATGGACAGCCTCTCCTTTAGTGCTTTGATTTTGAGAAGGTATCAGTATCATCTCAGACGTGAGGTAGTGTTTTGCATATAGAAGCAAGTGCTGGGTCAGGGAGAAGTCACTTATCGCTTCACAGCTCCCGGGGCGAGGGAGACAACCCCGGAGGCTGCACGCACTGTGGTGGGTGTGCAGAATATTTAGCATGAGGCGAGCAAGTGGAAACCCACCACCTGTGTACAAGGTGGATGGGGATCTGGGCAGCTTGGGGGGCCCTGGGGCTTCTGCTGGGAGCGGGGGAGTTGGTGAAAAGGGCGCTGTAGAAGGAGGATGCATCCTCCTCCTCCTCCTCAGTGCACTGGCAGCATGAGCCTTTGAGAAGAGGTGGGTGAAGCACTGGCTGGAAGAGGGTCCAGGCAGAGACCACCCCCTCCTGCGTCCCCATCCCTAGGGTGTGCAGGAGAGCAGGGCATCATACCCTCCCTGCAAGGGCTCAGCTTGTCCCAGTGGCCATCCAGC